TAAGATATAAAAATAAGATTATTACGATGTAATTTAGATAGTTCACAGATCCTGGAAATATGGCTTTGACGATTTTTGCCTGTTTCTAATACCGGCACTGGCATAATCTGGGAATTACTACCGAGAATGTTTTAAGTTTGTAGTTTAAAATTTATATGTAACTAACGTCGCTATTGTAATTTCCCATTAACTTTGGAGTCACATTGACATGTTTTGCTAAACTGAAACAGAAACTTTTTTATTCAATGTGTAAATAATAATTATTGAAAATTCTTACGCTAGTAAGCATCAATTATATTCTAAACTCGACTAAAATAATAGTTAGAGGAAAAAACAACTTTGTCGTGGTAGAGCCATGCTACAGGTATATTGTGGTTGTAGGCTGAATTGATTGGCTTGACCAGGGAAAGCCCAAGCTCTTACAAAATACCAGCATGAAATAGCACTTGTGTGTCATATTCTGAATGTAGGGAACCGGACACTTTTTTTACTGAATGTACACACACTCACGCCTCTGCATTTCGATACTTAATTAGGGATAGATGTAGATATCTATGGGCCACCGTATCCATTTACCATCATGTGAACTTTGTGCTCGTCTGTCACCGCCGAGAACAAATTGCCTAGTTCTACGTAATCTCTAAATTAAAAAAAATACCTAAAAATGAGTTATTGCCAGTAATTATCGGGCGTCATTACTCGTAACTTCAAACCATACTACAAGTACAAAAATATTTTCAAAAATCTATTACTCCTGAACATACAAAAGATAAAAGAAATGAAATTTAAACCAAAAAGCCCTACTGCAAATTAAAACTTATAATGATATTTGAGTAAATTTCAATATAATCAAATATTAACTTTCATAAAACATTGGACTATTAAACAAGTCAAATAATACAAAACTTTTATACGGTACTCGTTTTATTACTAGGGTAAGATTTTGTTTAAAAACCTCAGCGGTGGCACGGGGGCATTTTGGCAGCGGATCGCGTGTTCGCTCGGGTACCTACTGAATATTACAATAACTTGATATCCAAGCCAAGTACAATGACCGAATTTATTTGGAAAACCTCTTTCTCTTGCAATTTGGCTAGCATTGTTCAATAAATATATTTTCCATACACTGACGGGACTTGAAAACATTCTTATAAAGCAATTGTTATAATTAACGATTAAAAAGGTTTTAAATGTTTATTTTTTAATTCCTTATTGAACCAAAATATTTAGAACCATTTTTAGGGTACTCCTATCCTATAAGAAAGTAGTACCCTAGGAGTACTTTTAATCTCAATTTTAAGATGAAACATTAATGTAACATTCTATATACTTCCTGTAGGCAGACATATTAGTGGAAGGGATATCAATAAAAAAAACTTTAAAATATCTTTTAATGATAGTTTCCCAAATATAAAAATTCTGCAATGCCTTAATTTTTAACAAAAATATGTTTTTTGTTTTCATTTAAAATTATAACGAAACTTGCAATTAGTAGAGATAATGTGCATGGCGATCGTTCCTTGCACGTGCACGTGTGCACTTGACCAAATTTCGTAAACGGTACTGTTAATTACAAATTGGTTCTACAATTGTACGGCAATTCAGTATAGTTGTCTTTATAAGGATTAAAAACAATATACTGTTTACTATATAAATATTCATTAAAATCGACATCTTATAAAATAATTTCCTAAGAAGTTCTAAGAACTAAAATAATTTCCAGATAATTTTAATATGGAAACTTTTTATTACATATTATTTACAAAGTTAAGGACACTTCGAAAGTGATCAAATAATAAAAACATAACATCTGTGCAACATTACCTTATCCTTTTAATTAAATATTGATCAATAAAGCAACGTATGGCCTAATTTAGTTCATGTTAAACCAGTTCATGTGTTCAGTAAATATATAGAACGCGTAATATTGTACAAATGTATGACAAAAAGTTAAACGCATGAAGATTAAGGTTGCAACTTAAACATGCTATAGACAACTATAGACTTCTAGTTAGATATCCAACTAACTCCACATCTTTCATTTTGTACCCTTTTTCCACTAACGTTCAAATGACACTAAGTACAGCTTAATAAAATCAATAACTAGTTAATGTTGTTAAATAATGTAACACATACACAATGTTCGATAAAGTATTTCTAAATATGGCCCTTTAGGTTATTAGATAATAATTCTTGCATTTTATTTTGATATAACATACTAATGAGTTGCAAGGGCTGCCTATAACTCCTGCGTTAGCGACAGGCGCGAAACACACCAATTATCGCCATATTTTCAAAGAAGAACGATTATTATACTTAATATTGTCTGCACACCAAACCATATGTCGTCTTTTAAAAATTTTAAGTCATGATCGATTTTGACCACTTAATTTGACAACATGACCTGATACTGATGCATTGTTTGTCTAGAGCATTGATTAGTTTTACGTAGCGTCAAGCGAGTGTGTACTCACGCTAGTAGCGATCCGTCGGACGTGTTACATCGGCTTCGCGTCTGGTTACACCGGCCCGGACCCACCTGGGTTCGAAAGAAGCACCTTCCAGCCACTGCGTCTTCAGCTTGCGTAACATTTATATAACGCACATAATGTACGACTATATTGTTCGGTCAGAGGCGCGCACGGACGCCGTGAGAGCCTTGTTCTGCCATTTTGGATTCGATTTGACTGAGGGCGGCGTCGCGCGACTTACGACCGACCCGCGTGTATTTTAAGCGCTAGTTTTCGTTCAAGAGCGAGCGTTAGTCTGGGAAATGTGACGATGGACGAACCGCTTTACAGGAAAATAAAAAAGTGTATCGTCGGGCGGAGCGATCGGGCGGTTGCTAGAGGCACATGCCGCTCGATAGTTGAGCGCTTGCGCGAGGAGACGCGCGTGTGACGTCACGACCCGCGCCGGCTCTTTGCGACCTCTCAATGGACCATCGACACTTGACGCACACATCATCATTCCACTGACAGCGCTACTTGGACTCTTTCTAATTAATGACCCTTTCAAGTAGGTCTTCATGAAAGAAAGTAGCGATATCCGTGATTGTGTTTGCTGTACTTATTATTTTCTCACAATAAATGATTTATTGTAATCATATTGGCAGCAAATTACTTTAACATTAATATATTTGAAAATAGAACGATTATAAGGGTGAACAAAACATAGTAGCTTAAAATACTTGCACATAATAATAAAAGAAGGGTTGTCATGTTATGATAACCTACATGTGTAACAGTCACGTGTCGTGCAGTACCATGCATATGATTCAAAATCAAAATCGGAGAATCCTATCACAAGGAAATAAGGTTCATTAATATTTATAGCACATTTCTTTGTACATACATATGAAAACTTAGCAGTCTATGCATGCAATCCTATATCTTAGCAAATGGGAAAACAAAAGCTAATATAATTCAGGCTAATTTCGCAAGACGAGACCTGTCGCTATTTTCGTCTTTATGGAAAGTATATTGGTTAAAGCTGAAACATCGTAACGCTGATCTGGACATTTTCAATTCTAACATTTCACAGTTTAGAAGATCTGTAATTGTTACGTTAAATATGTAAATTTCACGGATATCTGTCACTAATACTATGTATTATTAGTTTATTTTTCTGTCATACTTGTTGTCATATTTATTTTGCTGTGCACACTTTATTGGATTATGGATTTTATTATATTGTATATAGTTATACCTAATATTTTTGTTACTGTAAATGTGTTTTGTATTGTCTTCAATCTGTTAGTGTGCCTTATTAATAAAATAATAATAATAATAATAATAACGCGCTCACCATGCATAATCGTGAAGTGTGCAGCCTCCGTCATTACTTCCTGGCGAGATCGGATGATCCATTCTATAATGACGTCATTTCTAGTGATAAAGAGCTTACCCCTCTATCCTTAGCCAACGAGCAATGGCAGGACCCAGCAGTGCTTAGCATTTCCGACCGGGAGACCGTATGGAAGGAGAAAGAGCTCCACGGGAGGTACTACAGGGCTCTACATGAGCCCTTCGTAGACACAGTCGCCTCCCTCAACTGGCTGCGTTTCGGTGACCTCTTCGGGGAAACCGAGGGTTTTGTCTGTGCAATACAGGATCAGGTTATTAAGACCAACAACTATCGGAGATACATCCTAAAGGATGGCACCGTCGACGTCTGTCGAGCTTGTCGCCATCCCGGTGAGTCACTTAGGCATGTCATCTCCGGTTGTTCGGCGCTTTCTAACTCTGAGTACTTGCACAGGCACAACCTAGTAGCCAGAATTCTACACCAGGAGCTCGCTCTGAAATACGGTCTCGTGGACCGGAAATTGCCGTATTACAAGTACTTGCCGGAAGCCGTGCTCGAAAATGACCGCGCCAGGCTCTACTGGGACCGGGCCATCATCACAGACAGGACTATTCTTGCGAATAAGCCTGATATTGTGCTGATGGACCGGGCACAGTCAAGGATATTTTTGGTCGATATTACCGTCCCGTATGACGAGAACCTCGTGAAAGCCGAAACAGATAAGCAATCAAAGTATCTGGACCTGGCTCACGAGGTGACCGACATGTGGGGTGGTATGCCGACCGAAATTATTCCTGTAGTCGTCTCTGCGAATGGGCTAATCCCAGTTAGCCTCTCTGATCATCTGAGGCGACTGGGACTCCGTGACGGACCGCTCCGGGCTCAAATGCAGAAGGCGGTGCTCCTTGATACTGCCCGCATCGTCCGCCGGTTTCTTTCCCTTTCCCCCTAACCCTTGGCCGTTTGGTCTCCCCTGCCGAGGGCTTCCATCTGGTTGGGCTTTTATTTATTTATGTATTTTTGTATTTATTTTATTTTATTGATATTTATGTATATTTATCTTTTCATTTTCATTTATAATTATATATTTATACATCCCAACCAGATGAGAAAACTATATAGATACCCCACATAATAATAATAACACCAGCCGGGACCTTTGCGAGACGGACTCAATTCTTTTTGGCGCCGCAATGGCAGTGTGCCGTATAGGCGCCAAACTTTCCACGGCTGGACGCGCTACTGGACAAAGTAGCGCTATCCCAGCCTGGAGAATAAGAATTAAAGAACGTATCGCAAAGGCTAGGACCCTCATCGGCAGGCTGATATGCTTCAGGTCAGGCAACAACAGGCCAAGGATTGTGCGCACCGTCAGGATGGCATTTGCTGGGACAAATGTTAGTTTGTCCCAGCCGGATATAATGCAAAAACTGACGGAGCGCATAGACGACTTGAAGCAGAGAATCGCTGCTTGGGGAAAGCGGATTCGGCGATATACAGAGAGGTCGACATGGTTTAACCAGAATCGTCTCTTCCAGAGTGATCAGAAGAGGCTCTATAAATCGTTAGAGCGACAAATGGTAAGTGGAGCGGGCCCAGCACCGAATCAGGCCTACACTGTAGCATTCTGGCGCGGCCTGTGGTCAGAGCCAATAAACCACAGCGAGGGCCCTTGGAAGGAAGTTGTGGCGAGTCAGTGTGCGAGTATAACGCCCATGGACCCCGTCATTATAATGCCGGATGACGTAGCTGAGGCGGTCCGTAGGGCCCCGAACTGGAAAAGTCCGGGACTCGACGGGCTGCAATAACTACTGGCTGAAGGGGTTTGTGGTGTGTCACACTGTGCTCCCCCGACAGTTCCAAGAGGCTCTCAACCAGAAGTCGCTCCCGAGCCTCTTCACTACTGGGATCACGCATTTGGTTCCTAAAGATCAGGTTACCACAGACCCGAGCAAATACCGCCCCATTACGTGTCTGCCGACCATATACAAGACACTAACCTCCATTTTGAGCGCGAGAATCACTCGTCACTTGGAATCAAATCAGGTGATGTCGCGCGCACAAAATGGATGTCGGGGCAGCGGTTGTGGACCCAAGGAGCCACTCCTCATTGACGCGGTCATTGGCAAAGTGGTGAAACGCAACCGTCGGAACTTCTCCGCCGCCTGGATAGACTACAGAAAGGCATTTGACTCGGTGCCCCATACATGGCTAAAGAGGGTCCTCGAGCTGTACAAGATTGACTGTACAGTTCGAGACTTCCTCGAGCAGTGTATGGGGCAGTGGAGTACGATCCTCTGTCATCTAGGCGAGCGGGTGACGGCTGCGGAAAGCCGCATAAGGATAAGAAGGGGTATATTCCATGGCGACTGTCTGAGTCCAATCTGGTTCTGCCTCTCTTTGAACCCTCTCAGTACTTTACTGGAGGGTTCCGGGAGGGGATTTCAGCTTCGGAAAGGAGGTACAAAAGTGACCCACCTTTTCTATATGGATGACCTCAAATTATTCGCCTCCAGTCGCTCCCATCTTATGGAATTGCTAAACATCACTTGTGAATTTAGCAATTCTATTGGAATGGAGCTGGGGATGGATAAGTGTGCGGTCCTCCATGTTGAGAGGGGTGGCGTTGCTAACTCTGAGGGCATAGATTTATCTATGCCCGTCAACTTAAGGACCCTTTCCGAGGCTAAAACATACCGATACCTGGGTATGTCACAGAACATCGGTATCGATGAGGCTGGTATGAAACAGTCAGTTTGCGACACGTTTTATGCACGCTTGACCAAAGTGCTTAACAGCCTTTTGTCCAGTGTGAATAAGGCACACGCATATAACGGCTGGGTCATGCCTGTCCTCATGTATACCTTTGGCATACTCAGGTGGACTCAGACCGAACTTAACGCCCTGGATAGAAAAGTCCGCACTACCATGACGTCCCATAGGATGCATCATCCGAGATCGTCGGTAATGAGGCTGTACTTGCCGCGATAGCATGGTGGGCGTGGCTTCCTGAACGCGCTCACCATGCATAATCGCGAAGTGTGCAGCCTCCGTAATTAGTTCCTGGTGAGATCGGATGATCCATTCTATAATGACGTCATTTCTAGTGATAAAGGACTTACCCCTCTATCCTTAGCCAACGAGCAATGGCAAGACCCGGCAGTACAAAGCATTTCCGACCGGGAGACCGTATGGAAGGAGAAGGAGCTCCACGGGAGGTACTACAGGGTTCTACATGAGCCCTTCGTAGATACAGTCGCCTCCCTCAACTGGCTACGTTTCGGTGACCTTTTTGGGGAAACCGAGGGTTTTGTCTGTGCAATACAGGATCAGGTTATTAAGACCAACAACTATTGGAGATACATCCTAAAGGATGGCACCATCGACGTCTGTCGAGCTTGTCGCCATCCCGGTGAGTCGCTTAGGCATGTCATCTCCGATTGTTCGGCGCTTTCTAACTCTGAGTACTTGCACAGGCACAACCTAGTAGCCGGAATTCTACACCAGGAGCTCGCTCTGAAATACGGTCTCGTGGATCGGAAATTGCCGTATTACAAGTACTTACCGGAAGCCGTGCTCGAAAATGACCGCGCTAGGCTCTACTGGGACCGGGCCATCATCACAGACAGGACTATTCTTGCGAATAAGCCTGATATTGTGCTGATGGACCGGGCACAGTCAAGGATATTTTTGGTCGACATTACCATTCCGTATGACGAGAACCTCGTGAAAGCCGAAACAGATAAACGAACAAAATATCTGGACCTGGCTCACGAGGTGACCGACATGTGGGGTAGTCGGCCGACCGAAATTATTCCTGTAGTCGTCTCTGCGAATGGGCTAATCTCAGTCAGCCTCTCGGGTCATCTGAGGCGACTGGGACTCCGTGACGGACCGCTCCGGGCTCGAATGCAGAAGGCAGTGGTCCTTGATACCGCCCGTATCGTCCGTCAGTTTCTTTCCCTTTCCTCCTAACCCTCGGCCGTTTGGTCTCCTCTGCCGAGGGCTTCCATCTGGTTGGATCTTTATTTATTTGTGTATTTTTTGTAATTATTTTATTTTATTGATATTTATGTATATTTATCTTTTCATTTCAATTTATAATTATATATTTATAGAAACCAACCAGATGAGAAAACTATACAGATACCCCTAATAATAATAATAAAACGTTCACATGTGATTGTTCAGCATTAGTTTCGTATGTACATGGTCTACAACTGGACACGGATTATAAGGCGGATTTGCCACTATTTGACAGGAGTTGGAAATGGTAATACCAGATGTCTCGCATAATTTAACGATGCTTTCGCTGCCATAGATATGGGAAAAATAAAATCCCAAGAAGCCATAAATGTGAAAAGGCATTAAACGAGGTTCGGGGTTGTCTTGTTGTTGTTTGTCGTTTTTGTTGTTTATAGAATTTGGCGCCCGTCTTGATATCAACTTTTTTATCGAGGAAGCCGACAGTACGGAACGTCGTTTTTGCCTAAATTGGCCCCTTTTCACATTTATTTTTTTGGTCATTTATCATTATTTATTAAGCTATTTATTAAGCTAAATACCTTCAACGATTTTTCTTGTATTGAAGCTTCACTATTTTCTTTTTTTTAATTTAAGCTATAATAATTAAGTGTTGGCAATGTTATTTCAAGATCAGCAGTTGGAACTAACCGCGCCAACGACTTTGTCGACCAAATATCTATAATTTCTAGTTTTCAGATTTTTTCCTTTGTGTTTGTGTGTATGTAGCTTAATGACGTACCTTGATGCTAAACATCAAGTTTCCAAGCGGCCTAGAAGTGGCCTAAGTTTCCAATGAGTGGGTCAGTGAGTGATAAAAATTGCACTATTTGGACCTTAAGAATTAATTAAATTTTACGCAATTTATTAAATTTTTAATTTTATTATATTAATAATTATTAAATATATATAGATTATTCTAGGTATATTTACGTACGGGTTAAACCATATTTAGCTTGCAAAATATATAAGAAAACGTAGTGGATCATTTAACTTGTGTATTTTTGATAACCCTTACAACTTCGGTGGTTTGGCATACGGTGGTAATATTAAATTTACATCTCGATTTAATTTCTCGGAATATTTATTTATAAGATCGCTAGCTTTTTAATCTCATCTGACTTTTTTCATTATAAAATTGTTTTTCTACGAGTCCCTACCGTAGAATTTCTTTTGTGTGCGTGGAAGTGCGAGTTCTTTTTTTTTAATTCTTTCGATAACACTTTTTAAATTCCCGCTATGAAAATCAATGGGTGCGTTTGGCAGAAAAAAGCGCTAGCAAGCGCTTATAAGCGCTGAAATAGTTTTCGGCAAGGACACGATTGCTACTTCAGTAGCGCTGACACAATCCGCCATTTTGCTTATTTAATTTGTTTGTTTATAAGTAGAGTTTATAAGTTGTTTTGCGCAATATTAGTTTTAAGTAATATAATGACATGAATAAACATATACATGTTATTAAAAATTCATGATTGGTAAGTTTTTAATATGAATACTTTACAAACATATATTTAAATTAGGTTAGGTTCCCCGGTTAAAACTAACATCGTGTCCTGGAGGAAAATAGCTACTTACGATTTGACAGCGCTTACCGCTTACGATCGCCATTTTGCTTACAAGCGCTTGCTAGCGCTTTTTTCTGCCAAACGCACCCATTGATTTTCAAAAAATCAAATGGTGTGTGTGTGTGTGTGTGTGTGTGTGTGTGTGTGTGTGTGTGTGTGTGTGTGTGTGTGTGTGTGCGTGTGTGTGTGTGTGTGTGTGTGTGTGTGTGTGTGTCTGTGTGTCTGTGTGTGTGTGTGTGTGTGTGTGTGTGTGTGTGTGAGTGTTCGTGTGTGTTCGTGTGTGTGTGTATGTTCGTGTGTGTGTGTGTGTGTGTGTGTGTGTGTGTGTGTGTGTGTGTGTGTGTGTGTGTGTGTGTGTGTGTGTGTGTGTGTGTGTGTGTGTGTGTGTGTGTGTGTGTGTGTGTGTGTGTGTGTGTGTGTGTGTGTGTGTGTGTGTGTGTGTGTGTGTGTATGTGTGTGTTCGTGTGTGTGTGTGTGTGTGTTCGTGTGTGTGTGTGTGTGTGTGTGTGTGTGTGTGTGTGTGTGTGTGTGTGTGTGTGTTCGTGTGTATGTGTGTGTGTGTGTGTGTGTGTGTGTTCGCGCGGTGTGTGTGTGTGTGTGTGTGTGTGTGTGTGTGTGTGTGTGTGTGTGTGTGTGTGTGTGTGTGTGTGTGTGTGTGTTCGTGTGTGTGTGTGTGTGTGTGTGTGTGTGTGTGTGTGTGTGTGTGTGTATGTGTGTGTGTGTGTGTGTGTGTGTGTGTGTGTGTGTGTGTGTGTGTTCGTGTGTGTGTGTGTGTGTGTGTGTGTGTGTGTTCGTGTGTGTGTGTGTGTGTGTGTGTGTGTGTGTGTGTGTGTGTGTGTGTGTGTGTGTTCGTGTGTATGTGTGTGTGTGTGTGTGTGTGTGTGTGTGTGTGTGTGTGTGTTCGCGCGCGTGGTGTGTGTGTGTGTGTGTGTGTGTGTGTGTGTGTGTGTGTGTGTGTGTGTGTTCGTGTGTGTGTGTGTGTGTGTGTGTGTGTGTGTGTGTGTGTGTGTGTGTGTGTGTGTGTGTGTGTGTGTGTGTGTGTGTGTGTCGTGTGTGTGTGTGTGTGTGTTCGTGTGTGTGTGTGTTCGTGTGTGTGTGTGTGTGTTCTGTGTGTGTGTGAGTTCGTGTGTGTGTGGGGGGTGTGTGTGTTCGTGTGTGTGTGAGTTCGTGTGTGTGTGTGTGTGTGTGTGTGTGTGTGTGTGTGTGTGTGTGTTCTGTGT